CTACTACTATATATATATATATATATATATATATATATATATATATATATATATATATATATATATATATATATATATATATATATATATATATATATATATATATATATAAGACTATCCTCCCAAGTCTCATTTTCACATGCATTCTTTGATTTTAGGGTCATTAACAACTTATAGAACTCAAAGAATTGTGTGTATGTATACACTCTTATAGTCAATTTCTTGATTGATGAGTTGAGAATGGTATGCTCGTTTTTTAATTGTATATATCTTTTATGAAAGGAATATATGTAAATGGAAAATCTTAATATTTAAAGTGACGCATATGATGGATTGCAATTAATTGGGCTAAATGATGTATTCATTCCAAATCTTATCAGGGATAAATGCAAGGAAATCCCAATTACGTACTATTTCTTGATGTCCTCAATCTGTCAAGAGTGCTAAGTTTCTTCTTGTCTGAGGTCTAAATGCGATAAATTATTATCATCTCATATTTTTTTAATACTAAAATAATTACTTTTTATTTTATATTTTTATCTTATTTAATATCTTAAATCTCTCTCATTGTCGTTTTAATGTTGTATGGTCTCATGGTTTTCGCCTCCACCTTGATCGTTTATGTTTTATCATCTCCATATGATCAAGTGTGAAGAGGAGAAAAAGATAGAAAATAAAAATTAAGAAAAAAAGAAAGAAAGAATACAATATAGAGCGAAGGTGATAACAAGAGCGAAGCAATGGATGACAAAAACAACCATGCGTGTTTAAGGTGTTAGAAAAAAAAAAAAGAGCATTAAATAAAAAAAATTAGAAAATATGATGTATCATAAGACTTTTCGAAAGAAATCATCAAAATAAAATAAAATGATAGAATTATATAGGTTGGATTTAGCACATAATTCAATTATCCAAAGCTTTTAGATTGAATGGAAGCCAAACATATCAATTTCAGAATGCAAAGGTTTGAAAAAAAAATGAGAATAAGAAAATAGTTTCATATTATTAAATCTAACGTAAAATAAGTGATGATTAAGAAGAGAACAGTCTCACAATACTAAATCTAACATAAAAATCGAGTGAAAACTAAGAGAACAATCACATATTGTTAGATCTGTACATCGACATCCACATTTCAGCTTTTGACCCCCACAAAAATATATTTTATTCAAAACACAAAAAATCTATATCGATGCTCGTTTTATTGTGTTCCTCCTAAGTGAAAAATAAACAGCATAAAAGATTAGAAATATACACAAAAAAGAGTAATCCGATTCAGTGGCAGCTCTATCGAACGCACTCATGTCATTTTATATACCGATGCGAGAAACTCGCGTTCAAAGCAGTCGCCAAAGATTGGCTTGTTTTTGATGTCTGCTTTCGGCTGCGGAATAATCGATCGGTATGGTTGAAGGCGACCACATGATGCACACTTTCTCGTTTCCTAGTACGAGGAGTCAACGACCACCGAGGGAGAGGGGACAGTGACATCGAGACAAGGATTCTCCGCATGCAATTCATGACATTAAGGCTAAGGCTAAGGCTAAGGCTAAGGATTTATCCTTCACTCTTCATTTCACTTTCGATATCCGTTAATCGATTCGAAATCAAAAACTATATATATTTAGGTGCATCGATTTTACTTGATGAAATTGATACGATATGATCCGTTTTTCGAATCATTTAGTATCATTAAAGTGTTTAGAATTCGGATGATGAAAAATATTCATTTTACTTTAGTTTGATTAAAAGACTATATCAATGATTTATCCAATAAAATTTCAGCTTGTAAGTATTCGTTTAATAAACTTAGTATGAATATATATTAAAAAAATATTTTTATATATCAACTTGGTTAACACACAAAGATCGTCAATCGGTAAGTTGGCATGATTGATTCTCTGTCAAAAGCGCAGGTCCCTTATGAATATTTTTTCTAGTTACTGTGGAGAGTAGGTGTTGCAGACAAGACGAAGGAAGCTATAGGAAGAGCCAATGCGGTAGGAGGGGCTCAATCTTCAAATGCTGAAGCTTGGTTTGAGAGCTAGGCGATCGCTCTTGCTGAGTAGCTTTTTGGCTATGCCTCTGGGCTACGTTGATAACCTTGCACAACAGGTCTACACCGAGGGTGTCTCACCTTGACTCCTCTGATGCTCAAGTCAGGAAAGCATGGGGAGAAAGATAATAGTATTAGTAATAAATTAAGAGAGTAACAAGTTTATTTGGCCTATATGTCTCGGTTTGGCCCGGGGCATGACTTTTATGCTTGGCATCGAGTGGAGCAGATAGGCCTCCGCCAAGGTTCCTCTTACCCAGCATAGTGAAAACATTTAATGCGAGTGGCTTAACGGTGTGTGCTCCCAACAACAGTGTTTGGGGACTATCAGGATGACGCCTCCGATCGGGCTTCCTTGCTTCTTTGGATCATGCAAGGCGTGATCCCCTCATCGTTCGTATGAAAGAGAAGGCTAGTGAAGTCGGGTCATACCATCGACCATTAATGTAAAGCTAGATTTATTTTTCCGACTACGAGATCAATGAGGAGTGGTTCCTGTAAGTTCATTTCGGAAAGTCAAAGCAGGTGACGTGACCTCCTGTCGGTGATCGCAAAGAGTAGGTAGGTGGCTCTGAGTCTTCGTTTAGGTATTGCTTATGAGGTGGGGGAAGTGAGAAATGTCAAGATTATCGATGATACTCGGCTATTATGATATGTTGAAGAGACTTTTCCTCAATTCTTATAGATGAAGTGACATCTCATTGGTTTAACATGTATTTTACATGCTTTGCTTTGCTAACGTTACATGTTATATATTTTAGTTTATCTATAGCCTAATTCTAGACTGATAGTTGAACTCTAAAGATATATACAACCTATTTTTTAAAGATAGAAAAGAAGCCTAACATGGCTTTGTCACATTATAGTAATTAATAAATAATTCCACACCTGATTTTGATGGTCGGCATACACATCACAAACACCTTGCAACTCAAAATTTTTAATTAATATAGTAGCCTCCAATATATATTATTATATACTCTCTTAGCTATCTCATGTCTTTTTTATGTGAGCTTGTTGTCATAAGTTCACACAAAATAATGCGCATTAAGTTTTCACATTGCCACTATTTAAGCATGACCTTTTTTTATATCTAAAGTATTATATTAATATGATAAACTTAAATCCACATACTAAAAGTTACGATCTAAATTCGACAAATTTAAAGTAAAGTAGCATAGTTGATAAAAACTTTGGCTATGATAGCGAGGTATTGGATTTGATTCCATAAGTGGATCAATCTATACAAAAGAAATCTTCCATGCACACAAACATATACATTTGTGTTCTCTTTGGATTAAGAAGAAGTTTACAGACTGAAAGGTATAAGAGAGAGAGAGAGAGAGAGAGCAATTTAGTACGTAGTATGAGAACTCAATGGATTCCTATATATACTCGCTGTTTAATGCACTGTAACTGTGATGTCTTCAGCTAGTCCGCCCACAGCCGCAGATCCGTGTGGCAGTCCGCCACCCGATCCCAGTCGAACTCTTTCTGCATCGCCGGCGGAGTCACCAGCAGTCCCCTCGCCATGTCCTCCAGCAACTCCGGCATGTTGAACAGCGCCTCCTCGTCCACGAACACAGCCGGCGGAGTCACCGGCAGTCCCCTCGCCATGTCCTCCGGCATGTTGAACAGAGCCTCCTCGTCCACGAACACCGCCGGTGGCCTACATGCGGCCTCGGGAGCTGGCTTCGGCGGTGATTTCGGCTCCCACGGTCCGAACATCTCGGCTGCCTCGACCGCGGCACGGCGGACGTCCTCCGCGGCCGCCGACTCCGCTCGGGGCAGCGCCCAGGCCGAGTCGGGGAAGTTGAGGCTGGCGGACGCGCCCCGGAGCGCGATGACGGCCACGTCGTGCGCCCTGGCCGCCATCTCCGGCGTCCGGAACGTGCCCAGCCATATTCGGCTCTTCTTCCGGGGCTCCCGCACCTCAGACACCCACTTCCCCCCGTTGCGCTCCCGCACGCCGTGGTACACCGGGTGCCGCGTCTCCCGGAACTTCTTCCGCCCGGCCTTCCGCTTTGGTGACTGCCCCGGCGCCCATGCGGTCGAGAGACCCGAGGACGAGGAGGAGCACGAGTACGAGGAGGAGGAGGAATCCTCAAAGTCCATGATCAGAGCACAGAACGGAAAGGGCGTGCAAGCTTCGAGTTGGAGACGTCGCTGACAGGTATAGCCTAAACACGCACACACACACACACACATATATAGTGTGTGTGGGAGTGATAAAAGTGGATGGTAAGGGAAGAAGGCGTTCCAAGTCGAAGCCCGCCGCGGGCGCCACACTCCAGCGATGAGGTTTCACAAGAGAGAACAGATGAGGAATAAGAAAAGCGCAGGGCTTCCACTCGAGGAAGACAAACGTCGGGCGACTGCGGCAGCAGCAGAAGGAAAACGTGTTCCATCTGCACCTTCGTCTTTTTCCTCTTGGGATAATTACGGAAGGCGTGGAAGCACGCTCGACAAATCTGACGGCCACATCAACTCAGCAACCGGCGTCGAGTACATTGCTTTCACACTCCTACGGCCAGCGTTCCCCTTCCGGTCTCTTATCCTCTCGCTAAAGCAGCCTTTTCCAGGCTTCGATGAACATAGAGACTCTGCATCTTCCAGAATCCAAATTGGCTTCGTTGCAGCCACCGTGAGGGCAGTATTCTCATTGCTTTCACTGCACCCACCGCGTGCATGCCAAATTACCCATTCCAGTCAAAGAACGGTTCGCATGGGTTCAATGTCCGGTTCGAAATCGATCGATCCATCACATGTGGTTCACATCATCAAAATCTGATCTATCCAACCGGGCTTGATTTGAAGTCGACGATCATTTAATAGTTTTAGAAAGGTCGATTTAGAATATTTTTAAGATTTATGAGATAAATCATATACGAGAAGATTTCGGCTTGAATTCAAATCAAACTAAAATTACATATGCTTAATTTTATCATTTGTATCATAATCAAATCATCTATATATTTTTTGCAAGTGAAATCATGAACTCATACAAAGACCAGTCTGGGCTTGTAGTGGGCCTCAATGATTCGTCTTACGTGTATTAACTATGAAGCACCGGAAATCTCAGTGTTTTGCTGCAATCAGAAACCGAACACGGATATTAAAGTCCAAGCTGTCATCGAACGGGTCCATCCTCATGTGACTCCAAAATGTATTTGTGCCATCATTTATACGCATGTATATAGTATTATATATATATTGATTATTAGCCTAATTAATCTAAAGCGTAACCCTTAATTAATGGCAAACTTAGCACAATATTAATAGTGCTAGTGTGGATTCACATTAATAACCTCAGAACTTGTTAAAGGTGTAGAAGAAATTAAAGGAAGGACAGGGGTATTTATGTCAAATAGACAATAATGCTATTTAAGGGCCGGCGCTCGAATCGCCAACGCCGTAACAACACGGAGCGCGAGTGCAAAGGGAGCGCACCGCCAGTGGGCAGATAGGTGACGGTGGTGGCGGTGGAGTCGGCTTCGGCGACGGAATCCAGCATCTCTATGCCTTCTTGGTGCAAGGTCAGAATACGATCTCGTCTTTGATCCGCTCTGGCGGCAGAAATCGGCGTCGCTATTCCCTGTTCGTTTAGGATTAGGGTTAGGGTTTCGAGATGGGTATAGGATTTTGTTAGGGTTTGGACGTCCTTCCTCTTTGGTTGCCGTATAATTCTTGAGTTTGTTGCCTTGTGTGATTTTGCCCTGAGTTTTATCTCGGATCCGAGACAATTCTTCTGGTGGATTTCGCTGCCCGATACAGAAAAGAATCGGGGTTGGCGCTCCAGGAGCCAATCGTTTAGGATTCTTCTGCCTCGTGGACCTTTTTGCCTGTTGGGATTTTAGATTCTCGAGAAGATGCGCGGCAGGGCACCTGCAGCGGGAGGACGAGGAGGAAGAGGCGACAGGGGACTGTCACCTCCTGCTGCCGCAGCAGCTGCCAAGACGAAGAGCAATCGATCAGATTGGCATCGTAACCGCTTTCTCCATCGGTCCCGCCGCAACAGCTTGAGCCCACCGAACAGGGATAGGCCCCGGCGCTCACCAGGCCGCCGGAGCACCTCCGTTGAACGCAGGAACTATGCCCCTTGGCACTCAGATTATGCACGACAGCTCCACGACGAACCCTCACTGCCACCCCAGCTCCATGGCCGGCCCTCGCCGTTTGGATACAACAGTTATGAGATCCCACATAGGTTAATGTTGCCTGGTGATCCATCTAACTTGGATTCTGAGGTGAAACCGGGCTTGAGGCTGTCTCATTGGATCAAGGATAAAGACATTCTCCAGCCAGGCAATGGGGCACCAGGGATGTCATCTTTGGGGCTTGAAACGCAAAACTCGCATTATCGAAGATCGCTGTTTTTGGATGATGGATCCCCTCAAAATTTATACTCACTACCTGCAGATGTAAACTACTCACATGATGCTGCCGTACTGAAACTAGACAATATGGGAAGAAGCAAAGGCTCTTTGAATGTGGGGCACCATGACTACCATGATCAGTTGAGAAATCCCTATGACGAGAGACTGGGAGGGAAGGCTTACTTTAAGGACACACCTTTTGCAATGACAGATCCTCCATTTCCGAGGCTCTACGGTGGTGCCTCATCATCCAGCTTCCCGAAAGATGATATGTTGGGCTTGTATGACAATCACCTTCGCCGGCCATTGGATGGTTCCATTAGAGATGCTCCAATCAAGTTTATGGACGATACTGTGGAGAGGATTGGGTACAGTCAAAAGCAGTTCTCTGAGCCAGTTAGATGGGCCCCACTTAGTCCAGCTGGAACCGAGCCCCGATACCGTGGCTATGATGAGATCAACCGGAGAGAGCTCAGTGATCGTGAATTTCTTGTATTGGATGACATGTATGAAAAGGTGCCATGGGGTTCTCGTACTGACCATCGTGAAAAAATAGGGTCATCTTTCAGGGATCTGGTAGGAGTTAGGGTCGGTGAATTGGATACTTCTCGAAATGTTACAAGCGAAAGTAGCCTCTGGGACAAGCAGCGTTCTTTACATGGAGATGCGGACTTGGATTATCGTGAGGGTAAAGGCATCACTGTGGACTATGTAGATAGTTCTGCTAGTGGGCATCTGGGATACAGAGTAAAACCATCAAGGGTCCATGAACTAACATCTCTCGAAGAAACATATGCTTTAGGGATTGATGCTGCTCGTACTAGTTACAAGGAAAGACCTAAGAGTCCTATGTATTCTGGTCATCGAATGGATATTTATGGACAGGTTGTGAGATCGCCACGAAGGGAGTCGGAAATGGAAGGTCTTTATCAGCTATCATCAGAAAGGATGACTAGAAGAAAATATGTTACTCAAGAAAATAGTTACATAAATGAATTTGATCCAAGAAGTGTTGCATCCAATGATCGAACTGCTTTTAGAAGGATCTCCTCACCTGGTGTTACTGATGATATATGGCCAGAAGAAGAAAGGCAAGGTGATATTAACTCGAAAGAGTTGGATTTTGGCCATACCAAATATAGGTCACTTTCTCATAGAATGTCTAGGTCTGATGCTTGGTTGCCTTCTGGGGGGACCTTCAAACATGTGGAACATGGCCATGGTATGAGCTTAAAAAGACGATTGAGGCCTGGTCCTTCAGAATCCCGTGGTCCATATACTTCTGAGAGAAGAAAGGAGTTTAGACCCAACAAACTCTGGAAGAAGGATATAGTAGACCGGCATGATGGTCTGAATCATGATGGAAATGTTCCACGAGATGATAATGTGCGAGTAAAAAGAGATCCAGCTGAAGGTTCCGAAGAGTTTAAGCAGCAAGTGCACAAGGCCTTTCTTCGTTTTTTTAAGTCATTGAATGAGAATCCACAGCAAGTGAAAAGATACCAAGAGCAAGGACCAGGGAGTCCTCTTCTTTGTTGCGTATGTGGCAGGTCTGTCTTCTTCATCTGTGGTAGCCTTCAGGAAGTTGAATGCTTGGTTCAACTTGCAACTGAGAAGTACATGATTGGCACATCATTAGTTGCCTTTCAACTGCTCCAATTACGATTAACTGAAATACCTTTATTGCAGCTGCATGAAATAAGCATGTTCCTATCTTATTCTGCTAGTTGATTAGGACTAAATATTTTCGGTTTAAATTAAATTTGTTTTAGTTGTAGAGAAGGCTTAAAAGAGTGCTGTTTGTTACCTGTGCTAGAACTGTTGTTGAAAGGATCAACCATCCACAAAGTAGGATGATGACTTCTGGAGCCAAATGATTTGCCTTGGCACTTTATCGTTATACATAACATGAAGGCAATGACAACTTCCTGTTCATTGAACATAGATTGTGAAGACGAGTGCTGTGAAAATGGTACTGTGTGGATGAAGGCTGATTTGTAGGAGCCTAAGTTGTTCCAAGGTTATAAATGTTTGTTAGTTCAAGTTGATAGATACGATAGCAAGATATTTAAGTAATCATCCATCTATTGGTATCAAGTTGGACTTTCAATCCCATCATCCAATTATTGGCATTAAGTTGGACTTTGTTCTGGGATTAACCTATTGGTAATATGATTAACTATTACTTTCCAGGAATAATCACTAATGCTATGAATCTGCATTTCACTCGTAAAATTCACGTGGAAGAGTAGATGGTTTGTCTTTGCTGTTTGATTGGGTCTCCATGTGTCGATCTAATCAATGAGATTCCTTCCTAGTTGTTGTGATTTTGGTCTTTTGATTCCACATAAAACACTTTGTCTCCTGTTGATGTAATATTGGCCTTCCAATTCCTCATAAAACATGGTTTCCGTAGTTGATGCGACATTGACCTTTTTCTTCCACATAAAACACTTAGTTTGAGCTTCTATTTTTACTTTTGGCATGTCTGGGATTACAAATGGGATACCTAACTTTCCTTGCTTGTAATTTGGTACCAAATTCAGCTGTTTTCTTTTGACTGTTAATATGGCTTCACTTTACCTTTGGATATCTGTTTTCTTGATTTGTTTTAAATTAATTGTTGGTGTTTAAGTTGCCCTCGACAAAAACACTATGGTAGGAAAGATCGATGTGGTTGACTCCAAATGCTTGGAACATCATGACTTTTAATTTGTTGGTCAATTAGGGTTTAGATTTTTCTTCTAAATTATTTGAGGGAGTCATTTTATTGTCGATCATCCCTTGCCTGTCATGCATTCAATTTTCGATGATTATTGGTTATTATTGCTTGTTATATATTCTTTGTTCCTGTTTGCTTTAATTAAAATATTCTTAATTATGAATGCTATTTGGCATGGTTCGTCTTATCGGTCCGTACCGGTGTACTAATCAGATGTTGGTATGGTACGTACCGATCCATACTGACGTATCGACACATGGTACGATGGGGGGCAGTATGCTGTGGTACGGCGAGCCTAGCTATTTGGCTTAGTTTAGTTGGATTTCATTCATTGGAATTGTTCATTAAGTAACATATACATTTGATATGTCATATAAGAAGAGAACAGCTGCCTTATTTAAGTTAAATGGCACTAAGTACTAAGTTAATGTTTTGTGCAAAGGCGGAGACGATGTTGCAAGATCGACTTACTTCTAGGTTGATTGGATATATGCTTAAATGCCTAGAAATTTATATTACTTGAACAGTTTTCTTTTCTTCTCCTTTCGTTCAGCATGTCAAAGGAGTTTGTAGATACACACAGCTTGGTGGGTCACCTGTATCACTCTGGCAAGGTGGGCTTAAAGACAGAACACTTGGGTCTTCACAAAGCCCTTTGTCTCCTTGTGGACTGGAATTGGCTCGTGGCTCCTGACAATTCCAAGATTTACCAATCTGGAGCTACTGCTGAAGCTAAGGCTATGAAGGAGGATCTGATACTTTGGCCGCCTGTTGTTATCGTCCATAATAGTTCCGTTGAGAAAAAAGTCAGTAACAGCCAACAAAAAGTCCTGTCTACTGAAGGCATACAAGAAATACTAAGAGGTTTGTTATAAATCACCTCTGGCTTCAAATGCTACCGATCCATACCAAAATCCTGCCACTTATCTACTGCTATTAGTTCTACGGTTGTGCATGGGGTAGCCGTTTTCCTAATGTTACTGCTATCTGGTTAGTCGACATCTAGAGTTATATGAGAATGTTCTGTCAAAAGTTATGGCTTTCTTTTTAACTGTGTATTTTGTTTGCTAATAAAGTCCATTGTTATAGTTTATCAATTGGGTATGAAGCTATTGCCATGAATACAAAAAGCAGGGATGGGGAATCATGGAGAAATTGCCCCCCATAAAATAAACTAATTCTTTGATGTGCATGGTTTAGTTGAGGCACATTGGTGGTGCCTAGAATGTTTTCTTCCATCTTAGCGTCCTATTAATAGGACATAGTGTTTTTTTTCTTTAATAGTTGTATATAACTTTTGTTGCTTTTGGATTCCAGAAATGGGGTTTGAAGCTGGGAAGACGACAATTTGCCATGGGAAACCTGCAAACCAGAATGTGTTCTTGATTAAGTTCTTCCCGACCTTTTCTGGTCTGCAAGAAGCGGAGAAGCTTCACAACTGCTTTGCTGATGGTAACCGAGGCAGACAAGAGTTTTATCAGAGGACTGCCAGCAAAAGTAAAGCTAACGGTGAACGTGAAGCTTGTTTCAAGAACTTCCCGTTTCTTTATGGATACCTGGCAGTTGCAGAAGACCTGCCTAAGCTCGATTCAGAAACGATGAAAAGATGCTTGGTTAAGAGCAAGAAGGATATCGAAGCCATCGCCGATGCCCCGTTGAATATAGATTGAACACCTGGAGGTCGAATCTACTGTGACACAGATTGCCCCTTCGAAATATATGCTCTGTGAATGGTTTTGTTTTTTGTTATCCATATGCCAACAACATCTCTCTCTCTCTTTTTTGTTTTAATCTTCTTATCATCTTTTTAAACTGGAAGACACGTTTTATCGTGGCAGGTTAGTTGACAGTATCTCAGAAATGTAATAGCTTGTGTCATATTGTTTCATAAGCTTGTGACTGAGTTGTTCGAAACATGTATCTCAGCAGAATTTTTATAATCTAACAAGCAGTGACACTTTTGCGCTTTTTCTTGTTGAGAATTTTCAGTTGCTCAATCTTATGATGATGTTTGGTTCTTTGGGTGTACGGTCAGCTGGAAAGTACAGAAACCGGTGGAGGTCCAACTTAAGTGCATGAAAGAAAGCAAAAGTTTTTGGGTGACACTTTCTGGTCATTTTCCATTTGTTTTGTAACAGATGCTGTGGAGGCTGGCTAGGCATCAAAACTGACAGCGGAAGAGTTAATTGTATCGGTGCGGAATGCATCACTCTGCAATGTTAACCCTTTTGTTTCTCCATCGGTAACATGTCAGTTTCGCTGGGGAGACCGGTATCATTGCTGTCGGATGTTTTGTTACTCCCCCAAGACTGCACGATTCAATCCAACTCTGAACGAATTCTGGTGGGCCCCTTCAGACGCTACAATCAATCAATCAATCAATCTCAACTTCGCTTTCATGCGACGCTCGGTTTGCTAAAATTGTCTGACGAGCAAAATTTCGCTAGGAGGCTACGAGATAGATACATCACCGATGGGGACGAAGAACGCAGCAGTTCCATTTCAAAAGAAGAGGAGGGGGCTGAATCATCTTCTGAACATGCCAGTTTGCATCCAGTGACCGACCACCAGCATGGGCTCCACGACCTTACCTTCCTTCATCCATGATGGCTTGATGGCGTTGCGTGATGACAGAGAAATAAATGCCTGCCTTCTCCTCCACCAAGGAGATCAACGCGTATGGCGACAAAATATTAAAGCGTATGGTGGAGAAGAGCGCCCAGCAGTAGCAGTAGCAGACGGACAGATGATATTAAAGCAGCTGCCGATCATTATATCCAAACATCATGCTTTTGTGGGCAGGCAGATTTGATCATGATCATCAAAACGACAGAGACTGGCTTCGTATTATACTCCTACTAGGAAAAGATCGATCTGCAACACAATTTCAACACCAAAGTAATTAGTATAGTATAGGCTTCAAGATCATGTACCAAAGCAATTTGACACGGAAATAATTCAGAATCAATATGCGGGAAAATCATTCGTGCTCATCGATCTTATAAAGTTGAATTGTCAAGCATCTCTACAAAGACACAAAAACACGAAAAAGAAAGAAAGAAAAGAATTGGTCTCTTACCAACAATAACAATGATGACCTTCCCCGTATGAGCAATTCCCGGGAAGTGATGATCATAAATATATCAAAAAAGAATTGGTCCCTGCAAGGGGCTGCTGCCTGCTCTGCAAGTACATCAGATTCCAAAAGAGAAAATTGAAATTAAACCACGAGACTATCAAATTGGCATCTAAGTTTCCACCACCAACCAAGCCCGATGGATGATGGGTTTAACTGAGAGAGGACAAAATGAGAAGTGGATCAAAGGCTCATGATGTTATGTGGAACCAACCCATCATATTCATGTTACTAACAGGGGCGGGCGTATTACACCTACATTTTACATCAATAGATAGATAGTCACAACAACAGGTAGGGTAGGCAATTAAGATGGGCAACTGCCGCCAAGTGAAGTAGTACACTACACTCTTCCACCGGAGTCTAGCAAGTTTTTCTTTTGCTAGAAGAGCTCGAATTCCACGTCCTCTCCGTTAGCCCTGAAATCAAGACACTTACCTTCTTTTTTACGCAACATCAGGGGCGTCCCAATCTCATGGCTTCTTGGTGTCTCGGGTGGTGCTGCACATCGGATCAGGGCCCAATTTAACCCATCAAAGAATGTGTGCTGCTTGATCTCGGCGGCACCTTTGACCGATCCCAATCTATTTTCCGGCTCCTTTACCAGAAGCCCTCTGATCAAATCCTTTGCATGAAAGCTAACGGATGGGTTCTCAGGGAACTTCAAGCTCTGAGAAACCACATTGGCCAATGTTTCCTCGTTTCCAGGTCCTCTGAAGGGTGTTCTACCAAAAAGTAATTCGTACAATAAGATCCCAAAGGTCCACCAATCCACGGCACTTCCATGTCCATCTCCTCTAATGATCTCTGGTGCTAGGTATTCATGGGTCCCAACAAAGGAGTTGGAACGTGCATCAGTCGGCTCCACCACAAGTTGCGGAAGTGGTCTTACCTGTCCACCTACTTCCTTCCGTGTTTTCTCTTGTGTGGAGGATAGCAAACGGGGTGTGAAGCAAGAAACTTGAACCCAAGATGGTCGAAGACAAAGCGGGTCAATGCAGCTATTTTCAGCACAGGGTCCTGAGAGCTTCTTTGCAGACTCCTGTGTGCCTAATGAGGAGGATCTGACAAGGGTCGGGCTTACTGAGCATCGGAGAGACAAGTCAAAATCGGAGAGCATGATATGACCATCTTCACGAACCAGAATGTTTTCTGGTTTTAGATCACGATAGATCACACCCAACATGTGTAGGTACTCCAAAGCAAGTAGGATTTCCGCGACATAAAACCTGCAGAAAGCATTGATAAGAACCAAGTTTGTAGCATAAAGAGGCAACATCCACCAAAGTCAAGAACAGCAATGACAGCGGTCTTAATCCAAAATGGACACTAAAAACTCCACTAAAACAAAAGCCAACTGATCATTCCATCTGAAATCTAAATCCATCTGATGAAGCATATCCTATTCTACTGTTTTATACACACAAACTCATGATTGTCGATAACCAATTGTACAATGGTGATAAATTAGTACCTCAAAAAATAAATCAATATGCTTTGAACTAATCTGTATCTGGAAATTTGCTTCTGACAAATCAAACACTGATTCGTTATGGACTGATCTTCCTTACCCAACTAATCTCTATTTTAGGATGTCTCTGTTTTGCTCATTTCATGAAAGAAAATAAATTTAGAATATTTGATCAATCTTAATTGGATTTGATGATGCGAAAATTCACATTTATGTCTCGTCAAATGCTTAAAATATCCTATTTCCAGTAGCTACTCCAAAACGATAGTAATTCAACATGACTATGAGTCAAGCTCTATGCAATGGATATCGACAGCAAAAAATTGCTTTTCTGACAAACATGCAATATCAAAGCAATATATAAAAATGAATAATCTGATTTGTATACCTAGCAGCAGACTCGGTGAAACTCCTACAAGGTTGCCTCTGTCGAAGGACATGCAGGTCACCTCCGGGGCAAAACTCCATAACTAAACATGAGAGGTTCTCTGTCGTAAAATGAGCATAGAGGGTAGGAAGGAATGGATGATCCAGCATTTGCAATATCTCTCTTTCGGTTTGTGCTCTCAGCATCTTCTTCCTGCTAACCAGGAATTCAACATCCATGATCTTCAATGCAAATAAGCATTCGAAACCAGCCAGCTCAGCAAGATAAACAGTTCCAATATCTCCACAACCAAGTCGTTTGAGGAGCCTAAAATTCTTTAGACCTAAACTTCCTTGTTGGATTAGGATTTGATGGATGGCCACCCATCTTAGATCCTTTGACATGTGAGGTCTACAACCTTTTGAACTAGCACCGCTTTGATGGCTCTCCTCACTGATGCTAGTGCTGCTACTATAATCCCCAATGCTGCTTTTCGAGCTGTGAGAGCACTCCCCTTTTTCTCTTGATCTAGAGAATTCACTTGATTTTACACCGATAGCTCTACCACTGCCATGGATATTTGGGCTGGAAAGAGTTTTGTTTGCACCGGTATCAATGCGCTCCTTACCAATCACAGCAGCAGGATTCAAAGTGCTGGTTGCAGGAGTGGCAGGTGCCTTAGGACGACGAGTTTTGGTTGTAGGAATAGTACATGCAGGAGTGGTAGGTTCCTTAGGACGACATGATTTGGTTGTAGCCGTAATACATGCAGCAGCGGAAGGTTCCTTAAGACGACATAATTTGGTCGTGGGTGTAATACATGCAGGAGTGACAGGTTCCTTAGGACAACATGGTTTGGTTGTAGGCACTGTAACACCACCTATATTCACCTCACTATGCTTGGTGGAAACATCGGGTGCTGAAGCTGGCTCAGGCTTTCCTTTCTTTCTAATGGCCTTGTTCCTGTGTACTGGCTTGGTTAAATGCTGACTTACCATACCCTTGCTTGATGCAGCAACTGCCTGTGAGCTTGATGTGGATGCTTTTGAAACTGATTTTCCCTTCTTTTCGGTCTCTACTGCAGCTGATTGACTTTCAAAGGAGTCCTCTGACGTTGGATTAATTACATCTTGGATTCTGATCTTAGTTACCTTACGTCTATTGAGAACTGAAGATATAGGAGATGAAACAGCATTATTATCACTTGATTCAGAATTTTGCACTTGACCAGGTACGGTTGCCTTTTTTGATGGAACTGCTGTGACCCTTTCAGGCATGATGGATATTTCGACCAAATTTCTCTGTCCTCCATTTATAGGAAGACAAGAGTCACTCGATTGAACCACCACAGATGCATAAAGCTTCTTGATCGTTCCAGCTTCAGAAGTCCCAGATAAGCTAATTGGCTTTGATAGCCTCTTCATGGCAGCCATCTCCGATGCCTGGGAAATGCATAATCTTCTCAAAGCCTGTTTTAAGGTGACGGATTCTGATATTCCTATTCCTGATGGTCGAGATGCTCCAACCTTGATGGGCTTCTTCAAAGCATTCTTCTGCAACAAGTCAACATCTGGCTTACTCATAGGACCACGCGCCCCAGATGAGGTCCGGAGATCAATTGTTCTCAAAAGTTTACCAAGATCATCTTCAACATCATGACACTTCCCGTCTTGTACATTTGTTTTGAGCTTAATCCGTAGCATCTTAGAACCACCGTAGTAATTATCCAAGTTCGACTCTTCAACTGATTCAACAATCTCAGAAGTACCACCTGATGAACCCATTTCTAGGTGATTCATGGCTCAATCAGACCTGAGAACTCTACCTTGACCTCAAGATCAGAGACATATCAAAATGGAATGCAGCAGTGATATGAGCCACCAAGCTCGCCTTTATACATTCCATTACCGTACTCATTCTTGTACTCAAATCACCAGAGACCATGAACCTGCAAACGAATGAAAAGGGAGTATCTATCTTTAAACTACGACTTC